CTTAAATGATTCCATTGCATAAGTATTCAAACCCTTATCTGGGACGGTTGAAATTTAGCTCAGGAGCATCATATTGCTTGTAGATGTTACTACACTTCAAGTGAAGTTAACTTGTGGCAAATTCAATTGAATGGGTATGATTTGGAACGGCACACACATCTTAATAAAAGGTCTAACAGCTAATAATGCATATCAGAGCAAAAACCAAGCCCTGAGGTCAAAAGAACTGCCTGTAGATCTCAGAAACAGGTTTGCGTCAAGCCACACATCTGGGGAAGAAAAATCACAAGGGGTAAATCACATTACAGATGTGTTTTATGTTGTAGAATATAATGTGATAATGTCTTAAATAGACCTTATTTCAGGCGTGGACCAAAAAACCCTGTCAAAAAAAAAAAAACTTGAATTCAGACGATTGAACTGGAAAAATACATCAACCTTGCATCACTCTATTGGTTATGCTGGAGGAAATCAAGCTGTTAGTTACTTGTAGGTGCTTTAAACATGATATAAACAAGTATTTTAATTAGTGGTCGACCGATATATCGCCAAGGCCGATATATCGGCCGATATTTGGAATTTTTCAAATATCGGCATCGGCCGATAAGTTTTCCTGTTTGGCCGAAGAGTTCGAGGTGGGACTTTTATTTTGACGGCGTTGAGAGTGGCAGCGCCTGCGCACACAGTGTTCACATTCTCCTTGTTCGCTGTCGTCATAACAGTTCTGTCGAATACGGACGGAAATCTGTCTAATAATCAGAAAGAACTGTTAAACAAAGGAATTCAAATGTATACAAAAACTTATTATAACGATTGCTTTTTTATTATTAGTTATAGAAAGGCAAACATTATAATACTTTATCGTTTTCCGTCAGGATTCAGCAAATACGCATTTATATCATTTAAATGAATCTTTGAATGACAAATGAACATTTAATTTCAAAAATCTTGCAAACTTAGTCGGATCCAGTTGTGAGATCTTGTGAAGTGTGCATTTGTATCCTGCATGATCGCGTGTTCTCTGCGTGTCGGTCGGTCCGTGTGAACTGAATACGGACAGCAGGAGAGTTCTGCTTGACTGGAGACACATGATCGACAAACTTTAAAATCGTGATTTCTAATTATGCTGCGCTTCATGCTTTTGCCCAATGTCATATTCATGTCATATTCACTGTGTGCTGTATGTACAATTAGTGTTACCTTGGCTTTATTTGAAAAAATATGATTCCCAAATCCCAATGCACACAAACATCCCAGATTACTGAGTGCCCTGTTGGTTATGATGTTTACTTCCTTTTTAATTATATTTTTATTAAATATTTATTTATTTGTGAAAAATTCTTTGTCATCTAAAGTACAAACGTTTATTTTTTTAATCCATTTTCAAATGATTTAAAATTTCTTAAATATTAATTCAAATAAATAAAATTATATTGACTTTATATCGGCCACCCTGCTTTCCAAGATATCGGCATCGGCTGTCAAAAAACCAATATAGGTCGACCACTTATCTTAATGTTAAAAAATGACACTTTACCGTGGTCAAATCTTTGTGTAGCCGTGACCCAGAAAACAGACATTTATTGCAGTCCTTTCCGTAACACTGACCTTTCTTTCTGTTTTTCTTCTGCGTTCTCGAAACCTCTTCATCCATGACCAGGTGTTTTTCAAAGGCAGTGAAGGTCCAATTATTTGTTTTCAGGGCCTTAAAGAGAGCTGCAGGAGAAAGGTGCTGGGGTAATTACTCTTCTTCGGTCTGAAAGATCTTCCCCGCTGATGGTGAGAATTAGCCCGGACTGCTGGACATGTTCAGACAGAGCAGTGGGACATGGGCTCTTTATAAGGCTTTGTTAGGATTCAGCTGGTGCAATGTTGACCGTCTCTTCACGCTGTTTCGGTTTAGCATTGTTCGTTCACTATAAAGTGATTTTAAAGGACAGAAACGCCATCTGTGCGTGGACACTCCAAAAAAATATTAATGCTTTTGCTGCATTTCCGCTCATCTCAAGTTGTTCACGGTAAATAAATTATTATTTTTTTTTTTTCAGTATTTTTGTCTTGTTTTCCAGCACAAATGTCTAAATGTTCTTCAGATGACTTGAGATATTGAATCTTGTTTTCTGAAAAATGTATTGAAATTAACTGAATTTATGCTTAAAACAGAAATAAATAGGTTTGATTTTTTTCTAGTTTTAAGCATAAACATTTAATTTTGAAAGAATTAAAGGGATAGTTCACCCAAAAATGAAAATATGATGTTTATCTGCTCACCCCCAGGGCATCCAAGATGTAGGTGGCTTTATTTCTTCAGTAGAACACATTTGATGATTTTAACTCCAGCCGTTGCAGTCTGTCAGTCGTATAATGCATGGCAATGGTAACAAAATCTATGAGAGTAAAAAAAACATGCACAGACAAATCCAAATTAAACCCTGCGGCTCGTGACGACACATTGATGTCCTAACACACGAAACGATCGGTTTGTGCCAGAAACCCAACAGTATTTATATCATTTTTTTACCTCTAATACACCACTATGTCCAGCTGTCTTTGTGCGCGCGCACGGCATCCGGTGCGTGAGGTGTGTACGCGCTCTGCCGTAGTTTACGCGAGCGCCGGAAGTGATCTCTCGTGCGTATACGTCACTCATTGGTTACACAGTGCACAGTCATTGTAGGTACGACGGCTAATCAAAATGGTACTTACTTGCGCTTATCCGGATTGTTCAAACCGACTTAAAACTAAAAGATTACGTTTTCTCGCGCGAACTCATTCAGGAGTGGTGACTTTTTCCTCGTATTCCCTACTTCTGAGCCTGCTCTCCTGAAGTTATGGTTGATTGCTCTTCGGCTGGATATCAACACACCTATTAACGTAAACTACGCCAGCGCGCGTACACACCTCAAGCACCGGATGCCGTGCGCGTGCTCAAAGCAGTTGAACATAGTGCTGTATTAGAGGTAAAATATGATATAAATACTGTTCGGTTTCTCGCACAAACCGATCGTTTCGTGT